TCCTGGTATCTCTACTCTCCTGTTGGCCTTGAGGGGTTGATCTATCCTGGACTCCCTGTGCTGCAGGCTCTTGGCAGTGTGTGTGCTCTGGTCTAATCTGATTTATAAAATAGAACTGAGGTCAGGATAGTGGGAAGCACCAAAGAGCCAGAGGAAAGTTGTGTTTCATAGGTGCTATACTGCACCCTGACTAGTTCATCTCTTCTCTATGTCTACAGATGGGCATTGGGTCTCCACTCCTTACCCCCACCCACCCCCAATTCACCTTGGGTATGGTTTTATTCTGGGTCCTGAATTTTACTTTTAACATGACAAAGTTCATTGTATATATTTTACCAAAATTAGTTCTTTGAACAAATATAGTAAATAGAGCTCAATAAATTATCACAACTGAACACATCCATATAATCAGTACCCAGATTAAGAAATAAACATTATTTGAACCTCAGTCTTCAACTGCCCCATGCTCCATTAAGGTGCTATTCTTCCAAAAATCTGTGACTCCCTGGCTTCTAAGAAACATCACCTGTTTTTTATAGGCTAGAAAGAGGCACATGGTTGCAAGCAGTTGTAGGTCTAGCGTGACTGTGACAATCTACTCTCATCAGAAGTACAGAGGCATCTATGTTGCTCCACATCTTTAGCAATAGTTGACATTATGTATCCTTGTCACTTTAGCCATTTTGAAAATAAATAGGGGTATAACAAGGGTTTTTTAAAGTCATTTTATTGAGGTCTCATACAACTCATCACAATCCATGCATAATTTGAATAATTCATCATCTGAAGGTAAGCTATAATTAACCAAGAACATTATTACCAGTAGTACATCTGGGAAGTGGTGGGGGGTATGAGGGGGGGGAAGGTCCATCATTTTTGGTGAGTTTTGCTTTTTTTTAAGTATTTTTTTAATCTAGCTTTTTAAAAAGTCTTAGAATTATATTTTTTCTAATTAAAATATGACTCACCTTCCCTCAAAGACTGCTTATTAGAATCAACATTTTTCTCTCAATTTTGGCACTATTAAAATGTACAAATCTCGTCATTGAACTTGCCTTTTTAGTTCCACCTCATTTTTTTCTCTTAAAAGTAATGATATTTATGTTACAGGCAATTTGTGCAACCTCAGGTAAAAGTACTGCGATTGCTGAGAAGTCGAAAAATGTTATACTGTACTTGGTAACATCTTTTCTGGAAAAAAATACACTGCATTTTTATAACCTAAATTTCCTTGAAAAAAATCAGCAATTTGCCAATAGATGATAAATATCTTTCGTATTTTCCTTTGCAACTGCACAGTCAATGTTTAGCATCTCCTTCAGTCCATTGTTAAATTTACCATAATGTATCACAAGATCAGATGACCGATCCAGGAGTAGAATGCTTGCTCCTGGCCAATTTATGCAGCACCCTCCAATGGTGGTTGTGGGTGCTGCATGCTTAGTACCCTATTCATTTCATGCTAAGGATTTGTGTAATATGCCTTGTGTAATCTTTCTTTTACTGTTGGTATTTTGGTTTGTGTGTGCTTTGTGTTGCTTTTTTACTTATGCTTGTGACAAACTGAATTTATGATCCATTCCTAACAGTTTGAAAACTCCTAGTTTTAACCAGTTAGTATCACATGCTGGGGATGGCCCGAGCATCTGGGAAGCACACGATGCATGCCAAAGGAAGAGTAGACACATAAAGCACAACCAGGCTTCTTTTCGGAAGGAGGAAAGAAGGAGCGTGGAGGTGGGATAGACAGTCCCTTCTCATTTGACTCCTTTTCATCTACTTAAAGAAAAGACTTTTTAAAAAATCGTTTTATTAGGGGCTCATACAACTCTTATCACAATCCATACATACATTAATTGTGTAAAGCACATTTGTATATTCATTGCTGCCCTCATTCTCAAATCCGCTCTCCACCTAAGCCCCATCCTCATTTTTTCCCTCCCTCCCTGCTTCCCCCTCCCTTGTGAACCTTTGATAATTTATAAATTATTGTTTTGTCATATCTTGCCCTGTCTGGCATCTCCCTTCACCCACTTTTCTGTTGTCCGTCCCAACAGAGGAGGTCACATGTACATCCATGTAATTATTTCCCCCTTTCCAACCCACCCTCCCTCTATGCTCCCAGTATCGCCTCTCACACCACTGGTCCTGAAGGCATCATCCGCCCTGGATTCCCTGCGTTTCCAGTTCCTATCTGTACCAGTGCACATCCTCTGGTCTAGCCAGACTTGCAAGGTAGAATTGAGATCATGACAGTGGGGGGTAGGGGGGGGAGGAACCATTTAGGAACTAGAGAAAAGTTGTATGTTTCATCATTGCTGCATTGCACCCTGACTGGCTGATCTCCTTCCCGAAACGAAAAGACTGTCTTTAAAAGCTGACTGAGCTCATAGGATTTACTTGATGATCTTTTCCATGATCATGTTTATCCTAGTGGCGTAGTTGGTTATGCATTGTGCATAAGTTGTGTAGTTCGAATCTTCTTGCCCCTCTGCTGGAGTAAGATGAGTCTGTCTGCTCCTGTAAAGATGGACAGTCTTGGAAACCCTGTAAAGGCACCTGCATGTTTTTCAGCTGTGTCCTGAATAAAGTTAGGACTGCAGCACTCAGTCTCTGACAACAGCTTCTATTGCTGTTAAATAGTGATAAAGTAATTATGATACCTAAGAATCGTATGCACTAAGAAGACGTGGATGTTGTTTCACAGTCTCGTAGCTGTGAGCAATAACTACCTCCGCCATCAGTTGCGGTTGAACCAACTCTACTTGTTCGTCAGAAAACAACTGTGCCGCACAAGACACCCCTGGAAGCACTTGAATCTCTACCATTTCAGTTACCTACCAAGCATCTTCACCATTTAGAGCACCCAGGATTCAAAACAACTGGGGGAAACTTTCTGTAACTTACTCTTGAGTTGATACCAGCTCACGGTGACCCTATAGGACAGGGTAGAACTGCCCCTGTGGGTTCCAAGGCTGTCATCTTGGTGGAGACAGATTACCACATCGTTCTCCCACCAACAGGCTCACTACTGAAGCTCTGCCGCCACGTGTGAGGGCTCCTCAAACATAGCCGGAGGGTCCTTAATTGTAGAATTAGGAATGACATAAATGTATTATAACATAGTCGTCGTGGTAATCTGGGTTCAATACGCCAAGAAATACTTACTTTCCAGTGCTGCGTTTCATCAGTTTTAAGATGTGCGTTGTCTCACATTTCAATAGCTGTGAACTCAGAATATATCTTACAGTGAATGATGTGTTACATTTGCTCGTGGAGCTGTGCTGAGTCATGGTGCAGTTTGATTTTTTTGTCTGAACTTGATTGTTAATCCTGGAGACATGATCAGACAGCATACCTGTCAGTGACTTAGAAAGCCATTAACAATAGACCATGTAAGGCTCTCAAGGAAAGGTGCACTGATGCTGCGGGGTAGGCAGCGGCCCGACCACCGCAGGGCAGGCAGCTGAAAACCGCCAGCCGTTCCATGGAAGGACGGTGAGCCGGACTGCTCCCTTACAGATTCACAGCCTCAGAAACCCTGCACAGGGTCACTTTGAAATAGACCTGCCTCAGTGGCAAGGGGCTAAGGAATGATGAGAGTGTGGCTGCTGTCCCTAACCTCCTCTGTGGACACTTTCTAATAAGCCATGCTCGGCTCTAACCTAAAGGTCTGAAGTTCGAACCCACCAGCTGCACCTTCCAAGAAAAGACCTGCCAACCTTACTATTTTAAGTAAAGATTTACAGCATTGGAAACCCTCTTGGGCATTTCTACTCTGTCATATCGGGTGGCTGTAAATCACACGAGCAGCAGCAACAATGCTCAAAGCTTGGAAGAAAATGTCAGAGACAAGAGGAGATTGTGGTGAGTGCTGCAGTACCAGTGTTCTTGAAGGGTAAGGGGCAATCCTGCATGGAGAACCTTGACCTTAGAGCTCTGAGAAGGAAAGTGAGAAGAGTTGGACAGTGAATGCGAAGGAATTTTAGAAATACCCTAACCGACTAACGTTGCTTATATTTTTCTTTATGCATGCTACATGGTTATAAAGAGTCTAAAAGAAAGTCTTTCACCGTTCAAGAACAAATCATTTCAAGTAAGAAGAAAGCATTGTGCCATGGTTTAGTGGGCAGTGTATTTTCTTTCTTGGAGGCACATAAATGAACAACAATGTTGTTGCCAGTAACTGTCAGGACGATTCTGACTCCTGGTGACCCCAGCTGTGCAGCGTTGTGCTCCACAGGGCTGTCAAAACCATGATCTTTCACAAGCAGATCACCTGGGCTATTTTCCGAGGCACCTTTGGGTGTCCTTGAGCCTCCCTTCTTTCCCCCAGTCATCTAGTGCATAACTGCTTGAGGCTCCCTGGAACTCTCTTACAACAACACTATTTTTAATTTGATGATGCATGATGGCCAGGTTTTCTAATGTTTTCTTCTCTTAAGAAGAACGGGGAACAAATACATATGCAAGTAAAGGTATCAGTACATCTGAGTGCTGTGGACCAACAGACCTTAAAATGTGGTGCAAGAATCAGCAGCGAAAGCATCGCCTGGAAACTTGTTGGGACGCCAGCTGTTGGGCCTCATCCCAGACCTCCTGAGTCAAGACCTGTACAGTGGGGCCCAGAGATCTGTGCGTTTGACTAGCCTTACAGGTGACATTGGACGTGACCCAGAGTTTGGGTGTCTGACTGACTGATAGAGAAAGAAAAGATTACTAGACTCAGCTCAGTGACATCTGCCGATGTGTTGAAGAGAAAGGAAGATCTCCTCCACTTTTGACTGATATTTGATCTTTGTCTTTTCAGCATGATGTGTCCCAGATTTTACTCAAAGCAACACTGAACAGCATTGTAGAAGAATGTGTCAGCTTTGTGGGAGTGGACATTAACATCTGTTCTGAAGTTTTGTTAAGGTGAGACAAGAAGTCTGTGGTTGAAGATCACAGAATCTTGAGTTTAATTGGCCATCCAGTTTAAACTCAGCTAGTACAAGGAGACGTGGATAAAGTTATCAAGTATAGAAAATCTTTGGGTTCACGTAGCATTAGGTAATCAGTCAGGGAGGAAGACTTCATTTAAGAAAACTATTGTAACAATTCACATTATCATTTTTAATATTACAACTCTAGAGTGAAGAGCATATGGTAACCATTGAGTACATTAGTGTTGCTAATAGAATTTAAATAAGGTTAACATCGGAAAGAGCCGCTTCCCACCACATCTGATAGATTCTCACCCCCACTCCCCCACTAGTTCGGCCTCTAGCATATGTCTGTCAAAGCTGGCAGGAGCCAATAGAAAAATCCTGAGAGTTGGATGTCCACTTAACCGTATTTGTACTGGCTCCAAAGTCACATGCCAAATTCTCCATCATTGTATAATTACACCTTATATATTCTGTCTTCTTCTATGGATATAGTAGAGCTGCTTTTTTTATGTTGTTCACAACCTTGTATTTGTTTTATAAGTCTGCAGATGAGCCATGGAATTCACTAGGTCTGGGGCATTTTGCATTGAAGCTAATGTAGTGGAAATATCCCTTAACATTTTAAGATACTGCTTTTCCACCATAGCTACAAAAACTCCCCAATTCTGTAGAATAACTATTATTGAAAATAGTAATCTTCTAATTGAAACAAAACTACTCAATGATACTTTGATACTTTCATCATTAAGTACCTTTGTATAGTTTAATTCTTTACATTAATGAGAATAAACCAAAAATTTAAAAAGGGTAGTGCATAATAATTGCACCCATTGTAACTTCTGCTGTTAATTCATTTTGTAAACTAAGCAGGACTAGGCAGTATTATTACGTGGTTTGCAGATGGGAATAGTGTGTAAATACTCTGTGGAAAAATTCTTCTGGCATCACTATGAGCCTGTTTTGCCCCCATTATGTTTTTCTTGGTATTTTAGTTTCTGTTGTCTTTCTCTCCTCTCTTTACCCTGTTTAGTTAACTCCCTTTATGGTTAACCTAGAGACATATGAAAGTATGTAGTTGCAATGGTTTTCAATATCCACAGGAAAATACTAGTATCTCTTCAAATGAGCTCTGTTTTAGTACTTCCTAAATTTTACATCTGCCACATCATTCATTGGGTTTATTTTATAGGCATATTGCAGGACTCAATGGCAACCGAGCCAAAAATATCATTGAATGGCGAGAGAAAAATGGGCCCTTCATCAATCGAGAACAGCTAAAGAAGGTGAAAGGACTGGGGCCCAAATCCTTCCAGCAATGTGCTGGCTTCATCAGAATCAACCAGGACTATATTCGAACATTTTGCAGGTGATTTTTTCCAGTGTATAATTCTGTTCTATTAGCAGCCTCCCGGCTCCTGTTTTTACCCGGTCTGCTCAATGGTGTAAATCCTCAATGTCCATTTTGTTCATTCATCCAGTCAGTACATATTTCCTCCTAGGTACTGTTATTGGTACTGGGAATACAGCAGCGAGAAAACCAGTTAATTCCTTGTTCCCTTGGAGTCTTATTCCAATCGACTTAATAAACTAATAAATAATTTCATATGGCAGTGAGGACTCTAAAATAAGCAAGGATATGGGATAGTTGGCTAGCTAGATGAAGAGTTTTCAATAAGGAAACAAACCATGCAGACTTCAGAGGACAAGCAGTTCACACAGAGTGGACGGTCGATGGACAGTGCCCTAAGGCAGGAAGTGGGTGAAGCATACACATGGGGAGGCCTGGTGTTAGAGGACGTGCCATGGGAGACTACCCTGGCCACTTGATTCCGGCATAGCTGTTCCCTCGTCGTAGATCGACTTTCCTTTTGCTACCCGCCCCCAAATGGCCAGAGCATTTATTTTCCGTAAAGAACTAAATTCTGCTTTCTAATCCTGTTAACATAAAAGAAGAGAAATTGGGTAGAGTCGATTTCTTAACATTTTAGATTCATGAAAGAATAGTTTTTAGGGCTGCTAGTTTGGGTACCTGATTCATTCATATATATGTTCATGTGCGCGTGTGTGTTTTAACCGAATTATTATAAATTATGTATGAAAAAGATCTTGATCCTCAAAAGAGACTAATTAAGGGAAAACTAGCCACACTGGATATTAGAATACGTTATGGAGCTATAGTAATTAACAGTTTGGTTTTGACAGATAGCTAGATAGAATAGCATTCAAGAGAGTCTGCAATCCACCAAACATAGATGGAATTTATTCTGTAGTAGAGGTGACATGTCGAAACACTAGGGAAAATGACTGATCTAGTAAAGGGTATTGTGATAACTGGCAGGAATTTGATATGTGTAAGGTAGCTGTCGTCCCACCTCCCTCCTCATATCCAAATAAGTTCCAGATGGGTTCTGGACTTAAATGTGAAACGTGGAACTGTAAAAGTACCAGAAGAAAACATGGGTACATTTTACAGAGCATGGTAGTGGGAGAGTTCTTTTTAAATAGACCATACAACCCAGAAGCCAGGAATGGAAACTTAAGAATAAAATATTTTCAAGTGTGTTACTTTACATGGTTTTGTAACATATGAGTAGCAGCATAAAATCATACAATTAAAAGCAAATCGCAAATTTAAGGAGCATAAAAATCATAAAATTATAAGTAAAGGACACACTATAATACAAATTCTTACAACAATGACAGGAGGGCAGAACAGAATTATCTAGAAACAACTTTTACTGAAGGTAAGTTGGTATCAACTTAAATAAACTAGCTTGTTACGGATGTAGGATATTACATAAACATAGTCTCCAAGGAAGATGTCATAAAAATTTACACACATAAAAATGAGAATGAAATAGATTTAGTTTTTGAAAAATAATTTCAGTGTCAGTATGGGGAGTGGCATGAGGGACAAAACATGGTGCGTTGTTCGGTGAAGTCCGGTTGGTTTCAACTCAGCAGTCCTCTGAGCAGTGGACCAAGATGTGACCCAGTCTTGCTCCGTCCTCACCACCATTCTCTCTTTGAGCCGCTGTGTCCGTCCATCTACTTGAGGGTCTTCCCCTTCTTTCTCGACCCTCCTTTTTTACCAGATACGATGTTTTTCCCAGAGACTGCCCCCGCCCAGAAACTATCCAAACGGTCTCACCATGCGTGTTTATAGGGAGCATTCTAACTTTCCTTCTTCTAGATGGATTTGTTCGTTCGTTCTCTGTGCACTCGGTATTCTTTGCCAACAGTATCATTTGAAGGCATCGCTTCTCTAGTCTTCCGGTGTTTATTATCTAGCTCTCACACACGTAGGAAGCCATTGAGAACACGCTGGCTGTGTCCGGCCACCTCGTTCCTCCAGGAGACATGCGTGCTTTCTAACCCTTCAGAACGGCCTTTTGCGGCAGATTTGCTCAGCCCATCATTTCGTTTCTTAACCACATTTTCCATGGTCATTGACTATTGATCCAAGTGAATTGAAGTCCTTGAGAACGGCAATCATTTGTTTATCATGATGCTCTTTATTGGTCTAGCTGTGACAATTTCATGTCTTCATAAGGTAGGACACATAAAGATCCTATAGTGAAATGACAAACGTTAGTCTTTCTTAACACTGAGTACTAAATGATGGAACTTCAAAAAGTTGGTGAAAAAATTCTATTATGTCTTAATTCCATTTTTCTACACATTTTAAAAACTTTATTGTGAATTGGGTGAGGATTTACAGAGCAGATCAGTTTTCAGTTCAGTAGTTCATACACATTTTTTCATGTTGTTGATATTAATCTCCACACTAGCATCACTTATCCCCCACGTATATATAATATACAGATACATATATATTTTTTAGCCCACACATTCACATTGTTGGTACAATGGTAAAGCACTTGGCCACTAACCAAAAGATCAGGGGTGTGAACCCACCAGCCACTCTCTGGAAGAAAGATGCAGCATTCTGTGGGACCATTCTACCCAGTCTGATAGGGTCGCTATGGGTTGGAATCCACTCAGTGGCAGTGGATTTACTGTCCTATTGATGAACAATTGAGCTGTTTAAAAGTTTTTAAATTTCACCAACTATTTAGGTACATGAAGATTCATTACTGATATATCTTTGTAGTAGGTTATATTCTGAATGGAATCTTGTTATTCCACGCAATATTTTCTTGCTCTGATAACTTTTTCTCGTAATACAATATATATAACAAAAAGTTTACTATTTTTAAGTAAACAATTCAGAGATTTATATACTTAATAGATGATTAATAGAATCACCATTGCCACTGTCTATTGTGAAAAGGTTTTCATTAATCCAATCAGAGACCCAGTACACCTTCAGCACTAATTCACTCCCCCTCCCCTCAACCTCTGAGAACCACTGGCCTGTATTCAGTTGTCTATTCCAGTTATTTCATATAAGTGGTAAGTCACAGTCATTTAGTCGATTCCAACTCATAGTGACCCTACAGGACAGAGTAGAACTGCCCTGTGTTAGTCTGGTTGGGACTAGAGAAACAAATTCATAGCACTCATGCCGATAAGAAAGAGCTTTATATAAAAGAGTAATTGTATATTAAGTAAGCATCCCAGCCCAGTCCAGATCAAGTTCTTAAGTCTGATATTTGCCTGTCTGTAACTTCCTCTGCAGACTCCCGAAACACATGCAATGATGCTGAGTGCAGGAAGATCACAGACCAGTGGGTGGGAAGTCTTGTGGCTCCAGTGGTGGTGAAAGCATCTCAGCGCTGGTGTGGGTCTCCATGTGGCTCCTCCAGTTCCAAAGCTCTGGCTCCATCAGTGTAGCTCCATATGGCTTATCAACAGGAATGTCGTGCAGGGAAACAAGCAGAACATATCTGGCCTCCAGTGAGCTATTTATCTCCTTCCCCCCTCCAAAGGTGGTCATCAAGCTGCAGACCTGATTGACAGGCTAACCTATACCTCTTCACTCTTAATAGTCTCAAGTTGACATGAGATTATGTAACTACCATATGTCCCTGTGGGTTTCCCAGTGTATAATTCTTTACAGGAGTAGAAAGTCTCATTTTTTTCCCTTTGAGTACTTAGTGTTTTGAACTGTTGACCTTGAACTTAGCAGCCCAACATGTAAGCCATTATACCACTGGGACCCCTATTTGTCCTTTTTTTGTCTGCTCTGTATCACTTTATCATGATGTTTTGAAGATTCATCCTTGCATCAGAACATTCCTTTGTAACTTATATCCAATTGTAAATATATACCACATTTTGTTTATTCATTTAATGATGGCCACTTCGATTATTTCTCCCTTTCAACTATGGTAAATGATGTTGCTGTTAACATCAGTGTACAAGTATTAGTTTGAATGTCTGTTTTCACGTCCTTTGGGCTGTATACCTTGGTGTATAATTACCACTGTATATTTCACCATCATGATTTTCACAGTGACTGCATCATTTTACATTTTTAACATCTAGACATGAGGATTCCAATTTCTCCATATGTTCCCCAAAGCTTGCTATATTCTGTTAGTTTTTTTCTTTCTGATAATAGCCATCATAGTGGTCATGAAGTAGTATCTCATAGTTTTCTACTGCACTTTTATAATGATATTGAGCACCTTGTCATTTGCTTAGTGCTCATCTACATATCTTTAGAAAAATTTGTATTCAACATCTTTCTCCATTTTTTTTTAACTTAGTTGTCTTTTCACATAGCTGGTTCCCTTAGTCCCAGATATATGGTTCCCAAGTATTTTTGTAGATTGTCTCAGTATTTAGGAAAGGCCTTTGGTAAACACTCTCTGTTCTGCTGACACCCAGTTCATGTCATTATTCTTTCGTTACTCATGCCTTTGTCATGTTTAAGAACTCATTGTCAAGACATGAGCTTTGAAGCCTTACTTACCCATCTCATTTCTTCTAATGAGTTTTATGGATTTAGTTCTGATATGCAGCTCATTAATCAATTTTGAGTTAATTTCTCTAATATGTCATGCGGCAATATTGCTTTATTCGTATTTACTTTTTGCTTTTTTAGAAAACCTTTGATGGCATTTTATTTTTATATGGCTCTTAATTTTGTAGTTTTACTTAATCTGTTTTAGTACATTCACATATGTTTGGATTTATGTTGTATCGTATTATATAATTTTCTCCTCATCTTGATTTCTTCCTTTCATGCTGCCTGTTAGATTCATCGTTTTGTAGGTTTTTCTCTTATTGTCTGTTTTCATCCTCCCATCGCATCTTTATCTGCCTTTCCTGGATTCAAGGAGGACATTCCTCCAAGATGCCCTGGGATATGTCAGATATATCTTCATATATTTTTCACATTATATTGAGCAATTACTTAACTTCATAAGTTGTCATGGCTTTTGGCCTCATTAGTATTTCTGTCAGTCCACATATTAATTTTCCTTGAATATCTTCTTATCTTTGCTGGCACTTAGAAATTCCATTCAGAGAACTTGGATAGGTTATACTTAAGTCTTTACATGTTTAAAAAGGATTTGAACTCATCCTTGTACTTGAATGCTAGTTTGGGTAAACTTATGAGTTTGGATTCAAAGATTATTTTCTTTCACAACTTTGACAATCTGATCCCACTGTATTCTGGCCTCTGATGTTTGCCAGGGAGAAATCTGATGCCAGGCTGGTTATAATTCCTCACTAAGTAATCTTTAATTTTTCTCACTTTGAAAGCCTTTTGGATTTTAAGAAATATCACTTATATTCTAACGTTTCCCCACAAAATGTCAAGTATGAGTCTTTTCCCCATTGATCCCGTTCTTTTTTTGATGAGAGGCTACACCCTGGATGCACATCATTCCTGATTTTATTTTATTTATTTATTTATCTTTTCCATTCTTGGAAACATTTTAATGTTTTTATTTTATTTTTTTAAAATCATTGTATTAGGGGCTCATACAACTCTTATCACAATCCATACACACATCAATTGTGTAAAGCACATTTGTACATTCATTGCCCTCATCATTCTCAAAACATTTCCTCTCCACTTAAGCCCCCGGCATTAGGTCCTCATTTTTCCCCTTCCTCCCCGCTTCCCACTCCCTCACGAGCCCTCGATAATTTATAAATTGTTACTTTGTCATATCTTGCCCTGTCCGACATCTCCCTTCACCCACTTTTCGGTTGTCTGTCCCCCAGGGAGGAGGTCACATATAGTTCCTTGTAATCGGTTCCCTCTTTCCTACCCACTCTCCCTCTACCCTCCCAGTATCGCCACTTACACCACTGGTCCTGTAGGATCTTTTGATTTTTTTCAGCTTTGGAGAATTATATTTTTTTTACTTAATTTATTCCCTTTCATTTTCTATGTTCTCTACTAGAATGCCAATTAAACAGGCTGAGTCAATTAAGAATGTTCCTGGCTTTAAGTAACAAAACAGTATAAACAGTGGTTTAAACAAGTTGAAAGGAATGGGCAGAATCTGGCTGCTGTCTGTGTCTATATTTGTAGCAGAGAAGTAAGTACATTATTGATTCACAAGTCTTTTCTGTTCAACCTCCTTTCCACCTCCCTGCCCCCCACCCCTTTTTTATGGTTGCAGTAGTCAGCACCCTGAGTCAGCACCCTGTGCTGACGTCACAGATAAGAAGCAAGGCAAGAAAAAGAGCAAAACTCCAGCGAACGTTGTGCTGAAGCCAAATCCCTTGGACCAAACTTGTATCCACCCGGAATCATATGTCATAGCAATGAGGTAAGCCTGAGGCCCTTGTGAGAATTTGTGCCCAAAGAGAGTGCTCTACAGCAAATGGCTTTGTTTTGGCATGATGGAGACTAAAAAATATGACCTCATTTAACATGACAACATTTTTTAGGAGTTCCACATTGCTGAGTTATGTGGCACATTATTTTATTTCAGTGAGAAATGAACCGATTATTCCTGGCACAGGGTCAGGCTAATAAAGCCTAAGACTAATGGTGAAGTGTGTGTAATGGAAATTGCCTGGCACTCTCCTCTGTTTGTTTTGGAAATTAACAAGGCACAATTGACTGGCACCTGGCTTAAACTTATGCTTATCATAAGATAAAAACCTTTTGAAAGTAAACAGCTAACTCTCAGGTTTCCTTAGTACCCTGTTGTCCTAGTTATTTATTCCAGAGTCTAGCAAATGAAGGATTTATAATACACATACTATTAGCCCATCAACCAAATGGTGGGGAACAGTGGGGACAGGGCAATTGTAAGGGAGGGTTTAAAAATTTAGAAAACAAAAACACCCTCAAAACCCTTTTAAAATAGCATATTAGTTCAGAATTTATTAATTCATTCATTCAAAACTAATGATGTACTGTGATTCCTATATTTTTTAAAGCTTTTATTGAGTTAATAGACAGTGGGCTTAGAAATAGATTTCAAGTAATCTGTAACTTTCATTGAGTCTAACTTTTGAAATATTTATATTTGCTTATTTTAGTATCATTCATTGTCTTTCTTTAGAAAATGCTTAAAATTAAAAGGACTGTACATACACATTATAGGGAACTTGTAAAACAGAGCAAGGAAGTTTCAAATATTCTGACAATATTAAGTCAGATTCTGTTTTCCCCCAACATTTTATTATGAATAATCTTAAACATACTGAAAAGTTGAAATTATTTTATAGTGAATTCCTACATATCTCCCTAGGTTTTATCATTACATTTTATTATACCTATTTTGACATGTCAAAAAAAGGACATTTCAAGATCTGTCTTGAAGTACAATGTTATCTGTAATATGATTATATCTATCTATCTTCAGGGAAATCCAATCAGTTATGACTGTTATTCAGATTTATGCACTAACCCGCCAAAGCTGGTGATAGGTAAATTGAAGACGGCTATCAAGTCTTCAATCTGAAGTTTATCAAGCATGCAGGCAAGATGCATTGCTAATTGTGATTGGAATGCAAAGCTTGGAAGCAAAGAGGAAGGAATGGTACTTGGGAAATACAGTGTTGGTGATAGAAACAATCTGGGGAGCAGATGATAGACTTTTGTAAGACCCGTGACTTGTTCATAGCAAATGCCATTTTTCAACAACACAAAACGATGACTGTACACACGAACTTCTCCAGAGGGAATGCACAGAAATCAGATTGACTCCGTCTGTTGGAAGAGATGCTCAATCACAACAGCTGGACCAGACCAGGGGCTCACTGTGGAACAGACCATTGATTGCTCACTTACCAGCCCCTAACATGATGACACCTAATAACAGCAACCAGAAATTCAGATGGAAGCTGAAGAAAATAAAAACGAGCCCATGAGAGCCCAAATACAACCTTGAGTGTGTGCCTCCTTATGTCTAGAACATCTCAAAAGCGGATGTGCTGCATTGAACACCAGTAATAGAAGACCTGGTGAGTTGTGGGAGGATATCAAGAACAGCATTCATGAAGGAAACAAAAAGTCATTAAAAAGAAAGGAACAGTCAAAGTGGATGTCAGAAAATACTTTGAACCTTGCTCTTATCATAGAGTAGCTGAGGCAAATGGAAGAAGCAATTAAGTCACAAAGCAAAGAGCTGAATAGAAAATTTCAGGGCAGCTGGAGAAGACAAAGTGAAATATTGCAATGAAATTTGCACAGTCCTAAAGTTAGAATCCCCAAAAGGAAGAACATACTCGGCATACCTTAAACAGAAAGACCTCAGGAAAAAATTTCAAGCATCGAAAGATTCTGTGGGCAAAATATTGAATGATGCAGGAAGCATCGAAAGAAGATGAAAAGAATAAACAGTCATTGTATCAAAAAGACCTAGTCGACATTCAAATATCTCAGGAAGTAGCATATGTGCAAGACCCAGTGATACTGAAGAAAAAGGTGCAAGATGTCCTGGAGAAGGACATCATGTTTGGTAAAACGGGCAGTGAAAAGGAGGAAGGCTCTCAATGAGATGGATTGACGCACTCGCTGCAGCAGTGGGCCCAGCACAAGACCAATTGTGATGATGGTGCGGAACTGTACAATGCTTTATTCTGTTGTGCATAGGGTTGCTATGGGCGATGGTACCCAACAATAATTTTAACTTGTCTGCATGTGTTTTCCACATCAATTTATCTTTTTGTTGTTGTTGATATTTTTCAAACAAAATTACATAAATGAATACTAGTTAATTGATTGCCCTTGATTCAGCTTTGACTCATGGCTGCCCATGTGTGTCAGTGGACGACTGTGCTCCACAGGCTGCTCAGTGGATGAACATCACCAGGCCTCTCTAACAAGAAGTTGGGGGAGACTCTAACCTCCAATCCTATGTTTAGCAACCAAGCAACTGAACAATCTGTACCTCCCTCCACTGCACTTTCTACTCTGTGTTTCAGCCTGCTTGTCATTAACTAAAGTTCAATAAGTGCTTATATTTTTCCTTTTCAAGGTAAAGTAACATCCAATTAAATCTTAAATGTACATCAGTGAAATTTCGACAAATATCACTGTTTATGTGACCCAAACCCTCATCGAGGAATAGACCAGGCCAAGAAACCCAAACAAATACCCTTTACCCATTCCCAGTCAGTCCTTTATGCTAACTTCCCTTTTCTGCCATAGATTTTTTTTTTTTTTGCCTCTTTTAGTACCCCATATAAAAAATACTCTTTGGTATTTTTTTCTGAGTGTTGTCTTTCTTTCAGTAGGTTATGATACGTGTTAGTCATTCTTTCTGTGGTTTAGCAATACACCATATCAGTTGAGGTATTTCAACAAGTAGACCCAACTCTGTCAGAGCTCACTCATCTAAGCCAAGAAATTTGGGAGAAAACTACCTGACCAAATGACTAAAAGCGATCCTTATGTATGCTCACTCTAAAGAAAATGATCTAACGGAATGAATAAATCAGTCTGCAATGTTGAATAAAATTTGGCTATAGCTAATTGAAGAGCAGTTGTAGCACCACGTTCATAGGAGCTTCCAGAAATTCAAGCCAGCTCCAGAAGAGGACATGGAGGAGGAATATCATTATTCTCTTACAGGAGAGAGTAACAGAAAGATATTTATTTCTGTTTTATTGACTACACAAAGGGAGTCAGCGATATGGATCACAACAGTTATGGATAACCTTGCAAAGACTTGGAACTTCAGAGCACTTCATTGTGCTCATGTGGGACCTATACATGGGTCAAGATGCAGTCATTCAGACTGATTAAGGTACTACTGAGTGGTATAAAGTCAGGAAAGGTGTGCATCAGAGACAGATCCTTCTAGCATACTTTTTCATTCAATGTATATGAGAGTACATGAAAAGTTATTGCTAAAAAAAAAAAAAAGTTATTGCTACAAAACCATAGAAACCTTTATGAAATAATTCATTTCTGTAACCCTTTACTGACGTTCTGTGCTCCTTAAGTCACACTACATCCAAACAGCAGTTTTCGCATCTTTGAGGGACTCAAATTGCCCTATTTTACAATATTCTTTACATTTTGAGAACAAAGAGCAGTCTCAAAGAGCAGTGTAAGCACTGTGGGGTGAATAGGATAAGGTCTTGTAACAAAATTCTCATAGAATATCTTTTGCTAAGGTCAACGAATGAGCAGGTACATTGTCATGGTAGGAAAAAAAATTCCTTGAGGCAACTTTCCTAATTTTTTTCTCACCAAGAAATGAAGTGACATTACATTGGGTAAATCTGCTCCAAAGGACCTCTTTCACGTGTTAAAAGCAAAAAATATCACTTACTGTAAGTACTAAGGTATGCTTGATAAGCCATGGCATTTTCAGTGGCTTCATGTGCATGTGAAAGCTGGACAAAGAAGACCAAAGACAAATTGATGCTTTTAATTATGGTGTTGACAAAGGATATTCCATGTAACGTGGACTGCCAGAAGTACCAGCAAGTATGTCTAGGGAGAAATACAGCTAGAATACTTCTTAGAAGCATGGGTGGCAAAATTTTATCTCACAGATATGCACATGTTTTTAGCACGTTGGCTGTTCATTTTTCATATATAGCTTGTATTATATTGAGGAATATTCCTTCCATTCCTGTCTGCTTGAGTGTCTTAAACAGGACTTGGTGTTGGATGTTGTTGAATGCTTTTTCCTCATCAATCGAAATTCTTATGTGGTTCTTACAGTTTTTCATGTCAATGTGGTGAATGATACTAATTGGTCTTTCATAAGTTGAACCATCCCTGCATCCCTGGTATGTAACCCACTTGGTCATGGTACATTTTTTTATATATATACTATTGTATTTTATTGGCCAGTATTTTGTTAAGGATTTTCACATTGATGTTTGTTAGGGATATTGGTTTGTAGTTATCGATTCTTGTGGGACCCCTACCCGGTTTGAGTATCAGTTATACCATCTCCATAGAAGGAGTTCAGGCGCTTGCAGAGGTGTTTCTATATTCTGGAAGAGTTTGTGTAGGTTTGGTGTCAGTTTTTCCCTGAATGTTTGGTAGAATTCTCCAGTGGAGCCATCTGTTCCAGGAGATTTTTTGTTGTTGTTGGTAATCACTTAATAACCTTGTTTTTTTTTCTATTCCTATGGGTCTGTTGAGATTCTTGGCGTCCATTGGGGATTGTCTAGGGAGGGATTGTTTTTCCAAGAATTTGTCCATGTCTTCCAAGTTGTTGAATTCATTGAAGTACAGTCCTTTGTAGTACTGTGTAATTGTCTTTTTTATTTCATTAGGGTCTTTTGTAATGTCCCCTCTTTCATCCCTCATCCTTGCTATTGAAATTTATTCCTTCCTGTCTTTGGTTCG